TAATTGCTGATTATGCCTACCATTTTATTACTACACTTTCAAATTATTTTCACCAAAATAAAAAAACGCAGAAGGGCGGTGCTAATTTGTTTGATTGGATTCATGCTGTTTTTTTCTTACGGCCGTGATGTGCTTTCTGAGGGCAGTACGTACGTACGTACGTATTGTACATACGTACGTACAGTACATGCTTTGGTTTGAAACATAATTTAATGGTTACTCATAATAATAAAGGAAAACAACAACGGATGGTGATGCAAGTCCAGCAAACAATTAATCAGTAATACGTCGTACATTTCATGCATATGTGATACATGCACAATAAATCCGAATTATAATTGTGTACATATAATTATAAATTGCATGGCAATACTTTTTTTTTTTTGTTTAACTCTCAACATATAAAATTTATCGAAATTTTATATAAAATTTATCAAAAATTTTAAAATTAATACAGTATCAAGAACTCAACTATATAGAATAATTAATAAAAGCATTTTTTCTCTCAATTCATATAATAATAAAATATGTCACATGTTAAAGATTTAATAGCAGTTTTTTTCTGTATACTCTTCCTTTTCTCTTTAGCATTTTTCTCAATAATCTTGAAGGACATTGCAAATGAAAATGAAATAATAACATTGCGGAATAAAAACACAACAACATTTCATAACAAGATGAATACGGAAAGGATTTATATGAAAGACTTCACTTACATAGAGTTTGAACCATTATATAGAAACTATGTTAAGAAGCATAATCAAATTATTGGTGATTTATTAAATCCAAAACATAAGAACAAAAAACTTCCAAAAGTCGTAGTTGTGCAACCTGACATGAGAACTGGATATGGAAATCGTTTTGGTGGAATAGTTTGTGGCTTTTTATATTCAATCGTTTCTGATAGGCTTTTTTTTATGGAAGGTTATAGAAATTTTGATGATTTTTTTTTATTGGATTTCGATCATGATTGGGATGTTATCAAAAAATTTTATTTCAAAAATACTTCAAAATATTTACATGACGTTCATGAAGTAAATGATTTTAAACTTATAACAAATGGTAACTTTAAAGATGTTGAATCTTTTGATATTTTATATGTTCGTACTTGGGATTACGCCTGTGCTCCTTTAATGTCAAATCCTAATTACAAAGATTGGATTGGTAGGTTAATACCTGATTATAGAATTTTCACTGCAATTAGTTTAAAATTATTTAGGTTAAAGTTAAACTTTGTCAATCAAATAAAAAGTTTTATAGACAATAATTTTGCTGAGCATAATATAGGAGTTCATATAAGATCGAAAAAGGCTTTAAAGGATTGGGAAATTCCTATAGAAC